CTCCCAGTGTCCAGACTTCTCATTATCATTGAATGTAAGTCCATTACGATGTTTTTTTTTTTTTTTTTGGTTTTTATGTTTTCTTCTAAATCTTCTGTGGTCTTAGTTTTTACATTTAAATCTTTGCTCCATCAGGACTTTCTTTTCACATAAGGCTGAGGTAGGGATCGTACTTGGTTTTTCTCCAGGTAGGGTAGCCATTATTCTCAATGTCATTCACTGCACTGTATCATGCACAGTTTCCCAGTCCTTCTTCATGACCAAATAGCAATGAAAACATTGTACACAGTGGTCACTTGGCAGCTGAGTTTTCAGGTCCTATGTTAGGCAACAGATGGTATGTGGTGATGGTATTGTTACCACACTCGGACACTCAGATCCCCCATCACTCTCCAGTTGTGAGCACCCACTAATGCTGAACAGTTCAGCATTCGCTTATCCCTGGCCTCTCCACTTGCTCATTGGGGTCTGTGTGGTTTGCTTTGTTTCCTCAAAGCCTGGCAATGTCTCGTGTTCCCAGTGTTTCTCCCGCCATGAGCCTGTTGTGGAGTCCATGGCTGGTGCAAATAGTTAACAAGCTCAGCTGCTAAATGAAAGGTTGGAGGTTCAAGTTTACCCAGAGGTGCCTCGGAAGGAAGGCCTGGTGATCTACTTTCAAAAGATTCGCCATTGAAAACCATGTGGCGTAAAGGTTTAATATAGTTAAGATATCGATACTACCCAAAACAATCTCTAAATTCAAAGTAATGCCCATCAAAATTCCAACAGCCTTCTTTGCAGAAATGGAAAAGCCAGCCCTCATACTTATATGGAAAGGCAACTGACCGCAAATAGCTAAAGCAGTCTTGAAGAGGAATAAAGTAGAAAGACTCACACTTCCTTATTTCAAAACATACTACAAAGTCACAGTAGTTAAAAGTCTGTGCATAAGAATCGGCATAAGTCTGATCCCCAGAATGTGAGGAGTAATTAAATCCCTACTTTTCCACTTTATCATCTCTGACACCAGGCACGCACGTAGCAACTTCTCTCTCTCTGACCCCAGCCCACCCAAGCTAGGGCAGATCTCATAAGTTAAAAGGACACCATCCTTCAGACACCAACTGCAAGTTTGGGGAGGACACACACAACACCCCAAACTTCTCACCTGTTGGCCACAGATTCATTCGGGGTTTTCCCACTACCCCTTCAGGATGCCAGCCTCAAGCCCAGGGGCCGTCTGTGGCTACCCTCACTTTACCTGCTGGCTTCCCCTACTCCCTTGGGTTTGATAATTTGCTGGAATGACTCACAGAACCCACAGAAAGCATATACAGGTAGTCCCCGGGTTATGAACGTCTGACTTATGGACAACTCCTACTCGCCCTTTAATGTTACATAAATTTGCACTCACTTTGAAATTATTGAACCAAGCCCTACTCACAACAAATTCTTCATCACAATCACCTCCACTTGCCACACATGCAGCTTTTAAATCATTGATAAGGCTTTGAGCCTTTTCTTGCACTAAAGTAAGGCTAAATAAGAACCGTATACATCTGTTCCGACTTACTTACAAATTTGACTTAAAGGCAAAGTTAGGAACAGATCTCGTCATAACCTAGGACTGCCTGTACTTATAATTACAGATTTATTATAGCAAAAGGATACAAATCAGGATTGTCATAAGGGAGAGACACATGAGTAAGGTCTAGGAGGGTTCCCAGTGTGAAGCCTCCATGCCTCATAGAGGGCACATCACCCTCTCTTCACCAAACAGGAAGCTCTCAGAGCCTCCGTGTTCAGAGACTTGATTAGCCTCAATCATTACGTAGTCATAATTGAGGCCTCATTGCATATGCATAATAGGTTAAATCACACTTCCCGGTATTAGCTACCAGGTAGTCTTTCTGGTCTGGCCAGCCCCCACTGATTAGCACAAATCCTCAGGTGTGGTAGTACCAACCCCCAAACCGTGTTGCTGCTGAGTCAATTCAGACTTATAGCGATCCTGTAGGACAGAGTAGAACTGACCCATAGGGTTTCCAAGGAGCTGCTGGTGGATTCGAACTGCTGTCCTTTTGGTTAGCAGCCAAATGCTTAACCACTGCACCACCAGGGCTCCTGTAGTAATAAAGGTACCTCAATTACTCATAAAATTCCAAGGGTATAGAGTTATGTTCTCAGAAAACAACAGCAAGCCCACATTACATTAGGTTAAATTCTTTACACCACAGCCTTGTAGTGGTATAATAATAGACATATAGAGCAATGGAATAGAATTGAGAGCCCAGAAATAAATCCATACATCTATGATCAACTGATTTTCGACAACAGTGCTTAGTCCATTCAATGGGGAAAGAAGAGTCTCTTCCATAAATGGTGCTGGTGAAATTGGATTTCCACATGCAGAAGAATGAAATAAGATCCATGCCTCACATCATACACAAAAACCAATTCAAAATGGATCAAGGACTTAAACATGACAACTAAAAGCATAAAATTCTTAGAAGAAAACATAGGGGCGTGGTGGCAGGACCTAGTTTTTTTTTTTTTCTTTTTGGAGGTGTTTTTTTTTTTATTGTATTTCAGGTGAAGGTTTACAGAACAAATAGTGTCTCATGAAACAGTAGTACACATATTGTTTTGACCTTGGTTAACAACCCCACAACATGTCAACCCTCTCCCTTCTCGACCTTTATTTTTTATTTTGGTGAAAATATACATAGCCAAAGATATACCACTTCAAAAATTTCTACATGCACATTTCAGTGACATCGACTACGCTCTTCCAGTTGTGCTGCTATTCTCACTTTAGATGAAGGTTTACAGAACAAAATAGTTTCTCATTTATCAGTTAGTACACATGTTGCCCTATGACAATGGTTAACAACCACACAACACATCAACACTATCCTTAGTCAACCTTGGGTTCCCTATCACGAGCTTTCCTGTCCCCTTCTGCCTTCTAGCCCTTCTTCCTGGACTGCTGTGCCTCATTAGTCCCATTTGGTTTTATAGGGCTGTCCACTCTTCGGCTGAACGGTGAACCTCGGAAGTGACTTCACCACTGAGCTA